CTCTCTCTCAAAAATAAACATTAAAAAAAAAAAAAAGGAACAAAGCAGAAAAATAAAGTAGTCCATGCCAATGGAATCTCATCAATAAGGACCCAGAGTTATAAAAGGGCTTGTATCAGGAGATGGGAAGTCCAGCAGAGCGAGAAACCAGGATGGGTGCTAGAAAAATAAGGCAGGGCCCCCTCAGAGGGGTCCAGAGTGTGAATTTGAATTTTAACTTAAAAGCAATGAGATGCCAACAGAGCTTTTTCTTTTTATTTTTTTAACGTTTTATTTATTTTTGAGAGAGACAGAGCATGAGTGGGGGAGGGGCAGAGAGAGGGAGACACAGAACCCGAAGCAGGCTTCAGGCTCTCAGCTGTCAGCACAGAGCCGGATGCAGGGCTCAAACTCACGAAACATGAGATCATGACCTAAGCCGGAGTCGGACACTTAATGGACTGAGCCACCCAGGCGCCCCAAACCAACAGAGTTTTGTTTTTTTTGTTTTTTTTTTTATTTATTTTTGGGACAGAGAGAGACAGAGCATGAACGGGGGAGGGGCAGAGAGAGAGGGAGACACAGAATCGGAAACAGGCTCCAGGCTCTGAGCCATCAGCCCAGAGCCTGACGCGGGGCTCGAACTCACGGGCCGCGAGATCGTGACCTGGCTGAAGTCGGACGCTTAACCGACTGCGCCACCCAGGCGCCCCCCAACAGAGCTTTTTAAGTAGAGGACTGATAAGACAGAAGAATGTTTTTAGGGCAACAATTTTGGCTACTGGGAGGACAGGCTGACATGGAGGGACTGAGATAATTTCTTCCTCCCTCTGTTCCTGCTCCCAGAACTCAGGACAGGGCACACCACCGAGTGGAGTCCAGGGCAGTGAACTGCTGTCTCCAGAGACAGAGCAGGAAAGACCCTTGCCTGCAGCGATAGGTCAACAGTGAGTCTTATCCAATCTCTCAAGGCTCCTTTCCGTTCTAAGACTCTTCCAGAATCTTAGACACAGGGTATCACGTCATTAAGAACACAGGAGGGGTGCCTGGGTGGTTCAGTCGGTTAAGCTCCCAACTCTTGATCTCAGCTCAGGTCTTGATGTCAGTCAGGGTTGTGAGTTCAAGGCCACACTGGGCTCCACGCTGGGTGTGAAGTCTACTTTAAAAATAAATAATGAAGTCTAAACAAAAAACAAAAACAAAAACACACAGAATCGGCTCGTGAGCCACAGCACACTGGGTTGAATTCCAGCTCTGCTGTTTACCAGCTGAGTAAGAGCTATTTAACGTCACTAAGCCTCAGTTTCATCTGTAAAATGGGGATGATGACTGATAACAGAATGACCTCAGGGGAGTGTTGTGAAGATTAAATGAGATTAAAAGGTTAAATGCAAGCAAAGGTCTTAAGACAGCACCTGGGAAGTTGAACAGTGTCAACCCAACATCTGTGAACTTGGAAATAGGGTCTTTGTAGACATAAACAAGTTGGGGTGGGCCCTAAATCCAATGTGACTAGTGTCTTCATAAGAAGAAAATGTGGACACGGGGCGCCTGGGTGGCTCAGTGAGTTAAGCATCTGACTTCGGCTCAGGTCATGATCTCAGGGCTCACGAGTTCAAGCCCCATGTCCAGCTCTGAGCTGACAGCTCACAGCTCGGAACCTGGAGCCTGTTTCGGATTCTGTCTCCCTTTCTCTCTGCCCCTCCCCCGCTCATACTCTGTCTCTCTCTCTCTCTCAAAAATAAATTAAACAAAAACAAAAAAAGAGGAAGGAAGAAAATGTGAACACAGAGACACTCAGGGCAGAACCCCATGTGAAGGTGAAGGTGGAGGAGGAGACTGGAGTGATGCATCCATAAGCCAAGGAACACTGAGGACTGTTAAAAACCACCAGAATCTAGGGAGAGGTACAGAAGAGATTCTTCCCTAGAACCTCAGAGGGACATGGCCTACTGATGCCTCGATTTCAGATTTCTGGCCTCTAGGACTGTAAGAGAATAAATCTCTGTTATTTTAAGCCACCTAGTTTGTGGTCATTTGTTATGGCTGCCCTAGGAACCTAACACACAAGTAACTGCTCAATAAACTAAATGGTGGCTGCCGGAATTATTACATCAATTGGGAAGGCTCTGGCAAATGCATGACACAGGGTAAATTTGGCTAGAATAGCCCCAAATTCTGGACTAGAAAAACAGCAAGGGAAGGACTGTGCCAAACAGCTTTGGATGACCTGAGCCTCATAGCCTGGCCCCCAACTTTTCCACCGTCCCTCTGCCTGGGGCCACATGGGTACATGTCTGGAAAATCATGCAGCATTTCTGCATCTGCCTTGTACAGGTAAGCCCTGAGCACCATTTCACAAAACAGAGCCCCAGGTGAACTCAACACTCTCCTTTTTCAAATAGATGTGTCCAGAAAGACAGTGGAGAAATCCTAGCAGTTGGTCTCAGCCTATTTCCTAACTTGTTTGAGCTTTCATTTTCCTATCTGGGAAAGGAGAGGGTTAGACTCCAAGGTTACTTCCAACACTTAGGTTTACTTATTTAGCCACTAATGCATTCAAATCCTGGCACCTGTAATGTGCCAAGCCCTTGGGCGGCTCAAAGGGAAGCAAAGGGAAACCTCAAGGAGCTCACTCACGTGCTAATAACACAAAAGTTAAAATGGATAAACAATGAATTCACACCAAATTGTTTAATTACAGCCGTGTAAATGCTGTTGTGGGGCGGTACTGAAGCTAGTAGAGCAAATAGCCGGAGCCCTGACCATGTCCTGGTGGGGAGGGAGGGGGAGGCAGTCAAGGAAGGCTGCTTTTAGGACAAGACATCCAATCTATCTAGTAACTGAACAAGTAGGAGTTAGGCAAAAGATGAGAACAGCCCCCTAACTATTCCTTTCTGTCCCTTTAAATCCCATTTCTATGTCTCTCTTGCTGCTTTGAATGTCACTTGCCAGCTCCCAGCCACCTTCCCTGTGGGTCCCACAGATGTCACCATTCCTAAAGGGGAGACTGGGCCCAGAGGGAGTGTTTCCCAGGAGCGCTGACTGATGAGTTATTAAGAACCAAGTGCATAAGGGGCACCTGGCTGGCTCAGTTGGTGAAGCAGGTGACTCTTGACCTGAGGGTTGTGAGTTCAAGCCCCACATTGGGCGTACAGATTACTTAAAAAAATAAAAAATAAAAATGCCCGCCCTGCCTT